TGAGCTGGTGTGAAATCATTAGTGGTCTGAGGGCTCCTCCTCTGGTGGCTTCATGTTACAAGTGTTCAGGCACTGAGGGGTTTTTGTTCAGGTCTACTGATGGTTTGTGTTATTGTGTGTCTCTGGCACAGTAATACACAGCAGTGTCTTCAGGCTGCACATTCTGTCCATTTAGAGTCACTGTTTTGCTGGAAGAGTCTAAGTCGATACTGAACTTGTTCTTTAGTGAATCTTTGTAGTATGAAGCTCCAGTATATCTCGATCCAATCCACTCCAGTCCTTTCCCTGCAGGCTGTCTGATCCAAGCTGTGTAGTAGCTGCTAACAGAATAAGAGACCTGACAGGTGATGGTGAGATGTTGACCTGGCTGCACAGTCACAGAGGCTGGCTGTGTCAACTGTTCACACTTCACACCTGTTAAAAAAGAAAATGTTTTGTTATAAATGATCAAGTTCTACAGCAAGAGAAGAAATGTTGACTATGACAAATCCAGAGAGACTCACAGGATCCAGCTGCCAACAGCAGCAGCAGAGCTACAGAAAACATGGTTTATGGTGAAGCTGACGAGCTGTGAACTCCACTGACAGTCTGATCTGAAGTTTTTATAGCTGAGTAACAAGGAAGGTCACTGAGTTTGCATAGAATCAAACACATGAAGCATCAGTGTTGGTCTAACTGGAGCCAATAGAAGAGTCTGTTTGGTGTTACTGTCAACACCTCCTACTACATGTAATTATTTATTAATCTGTCAGCACATAACTTTTTTAATACAACAATTATTCTTCTATATATATTTACTTATTACCTGTATTTTCTTACTAAACCTGTGTGACAATAAACAAAAAACTGCATGCTTTAGCTGAAATGAAAACTGTGGTATAGTTCTTGCATTTGTATGTAATTATCACCACATTATACCTTTAACTTTGTGGTTGTGTCATTTCAGATCAATGAGAACACCAAGGTGTCTTATCTTAGTTACAGACGAGACAGAAACTTGACAATGACTGACCTCTAGTGATTGTATAGTAGAAACTGCAACATTTTTTTTCACTCATCATATGAATCAATTTTTAATCCACATCATTTACAGAAATGATATGTCTTTATTCAGAGGAACATAATGCATTTGAAGAGTTTTCAGCAGCCACATTGTTATACAAATTCTCCTTTTTAAGATTTTCTTGTTTAATGTTTAGTCATATTTCTTGTGAAAGGATAAAGTATTGGCGATGTGAAGCATATACTGTTATATAAAGATGATATGTGAAATCAATTATTTGATACGTAATATATATAATACAATAACACTTAACACTCAGGCTCCACCAGCCTGAAATATGAGGATTGATGGATATTGTAGAGTTGTTCAACCGACTCCAGTCACTGTGAGTCTCCAGCACAATAATAAACAGCAGAATCTTCAGTCTTCAGACTGTTCATCTGCAGATACACCTGCTCTCTGCTGTCGTCTCTGGAGATGGTAAACCGGCCTTGGACTGACTGAGAGTAGGATTTGCTGCTGTCAGTGCCATGCCAGGCAATCCACTCCAGTCCTTTTCCAGGAGCCTGTCTGATCCAGTGCATATCGTAGCTGCTGAATGTGAATCCAGAGCCTGTACAGGTCAGTCTGTGGGATTCTCCAGGTCTTTTAACCACTGGTTCAGATTCTGTCAGAGTCTGACCATCAACACCTGTAACAAAAAAATAAATAAATAACTGGGAAGTTGATTAAATGCTTCAAAGTTTTAAAGACAACTTCAACTCAGGATCAGAGAAACTCTTCACCTGCCCAGCAGAGAGTTAAAAGCAGCAGTCCTGTCCTATAGTCCATCATGTTAAACTGTGTGTCCACTGTTCTCTGTCATCCTCTCTGCAGTCAGATAAGTAGAGGTGGAAGACATCTGAGTTTTGCATTGACTCCTCCTCACAGGGAGGAGAGAACTGGTTTGCATTTGACTTTCTTTTTTATATTTATAAAATATTATTCTACAGTGAGAGAAAAGTCTTCAGACGTTTAATTTTATTATTGGAATTTTAGTTGTTAAAAATTGATTTTTGGTCCAATGACATTGTTCATAAGGTTTATTCACAAGACAAAACATCACACAACTGAAAACTTGTAAAAGTTTCATGATACTGATTCAGTAACTAGTGCAGTTGTGATTGAGAGAATATTTTTTGTTTTTTAAATATTGATTTTATGGAAGAGACACTTTGTGAAGATCCATGTCTTGTTGGATTATGACCTTTTTAAAACCAGGTTCTCAGCTGGATGAATTTCATCACTTGAAAGGTGTAATAGTGTTATTCAGTTTTCACCTTTGGTAAATGTACAGTTATATTTCAGATATTATAAAGTCAGCATATTTGAATTAATGAAAAAAGTTGCTGTAAAATTTAATTAAGAACCATTTATAAAATCTAAACACTGTTTCTCTCCTCACTGTAACAGTGACCCGGTGTGAAATCATTAGTGGTCTGAGGGCTCCTCCTCTGGTGGCTTCATGTTACAAGTGTTCAGGCACTGAGGGGTTTTTGTTCAGGTCTACTGATGGTTTGTGTTATTGTGTGTCTCTGGCACAGTAATACACAGCAGTGTCTTCAGGCTGCACATTCTGTCCATTTAGAGTCACTCTGTTGCTGGAAGAGTCTAAGTCAATACTGAACTTGTTCTTTAGTGAATCTTTGTAGTATGAAGCTCCAGTAGCAGCCATTCCAATCCACTCCAGTCCTTTCCCTGCAGGCTGTCTGATCCAAGCTGTGTAGTAGCTGCTAACAGAATAAGAGACCTGACAGGTGATGGTGAGACGTTGACCTGGCTGCACAGTCACAGAGGCTGGCTGTGTCAACTGTTCACACTTCACACCTGTTAAAAAAGAAAATGTTTTGTTATAAATGATCAAGTTCTACAGCAATGACAAATCCAGAGAGACTCACAGGATCCAGCTGCCAACAGCAGCAGCAGAGCTACAGAAAACATGGTTTATGGTGAAGCTGACGAGCTGTGAACTCCACTGACAGTCTGATCTGAAGTTTTTATAGCTGAGTAACAAGGAAGGTCACTGAGTTTGCATAGAATCAAACACATGAAGCATCAGTGTTAGTCTAACTGGAGCCAGTAGAAGAGTCTGTTTGGTGTTACTGTCAACACCTCATACTACATGTAATTATTTATTAATCTGTCAGCACATAACTTTTTTAATGCAACAATTATTCTTCTATATATATTTACTTATTACCTGTATTTACTTGCTAAACCTGTGTGACAATAAACAAAAAACTGCATGCTTTAGCTGAAATGAAAACTGTGGTATAGTTCTTGCATTTGTATGTAATTATCACCACATTATACCTTTATCTTTGTGGTTGTGTCATTTCAGATCAATGAGAACACCAAGGTGTCTTATCTTAGTTACAGACGAGACAGAAACTTGACAATGACTGACCTCTAGTGATTGTATAGTAGAAACTGCAACATTTTTTTTCACTCATCATATGAATCAATTTTTAATCCACATCATTTACAGAAATGATATGTCTTTATTCAGAGGAACGTAATGCATTTGAAGAGTTTTCAGCAAAAAATATAAAGATGTCATATGAAATCAATTATTTCATATGTAATATATATAACACAATAATACTTAACACTCAGGCTCCACCAGCCTGAAATATGAGGATTGATGGATTTTGTACAGCTGTTTCCGCTTCAAGTTGGACAGTCTCAGATGCACCATGCTGTTGCTGTCATCTCTACTGATTACTGCACGTCCTCTCACACTGCTGGCATAATTGTTTCTACTGGAATCAGAATAGCTGCTCCCCATCCATTCCAGTGCTTTTCCTACAGATTGTTTGATCCAGGTCATAACACAGCAGTTAAATGTGAAGCCAGATCCTCTGCAGGAGAGATTGAGAGTCTCCCCAGGCCTCTTCACTACTGAACTGGAAGGAATGGACTCCATACTCTGACCTGTACAACCTGATGATACGAAAGGAGAGAGACAGTGAGACAGTCATCTGGGAAGTTTTCTAGTATCACTGACTGACCATCAGTCACTGCTGTCTGATAAAAGATGAAACATCAAGAAGCAGGAGAACTCACAGGACAGAGAGAGAGCAACCAGCAGAAGAGTGAGTGTGTTCATCATCCTGAGTCTGGAGATGTGACCTCTGATGCTGCACACAAACTACAAGACCAGTCAGCAGGACACAAGTACACTACACACACTGAGGATTTGCATCAGGACATCATGGGGAGGGAGGATGGGGCTCGTGTACAGGAAGTCTGTTCTGGTTTCATTGGATGAAGCCAAAAACAGGACATTTTCAAACACCACATTTTTACCAGCAGCAACAGGGTGGCTGGTATTGGTTTCACCTTGTGAATCTATGTATGTGTATGTGT